TCATAAGTAATATAAACTCCTGGCCATATTGAAGATTACTGTCTTCAGTTAAGTTGTTTATGTGATCAAGTTCTTTCGGATGGTTGTCATACTAGTACAGAAATCTCTCACTACGTGACGGTAGTGTGCATGCGAACTTTCTGAATATGCTATGTCTGGAAAGCCTGTCCATATAGCATGTTGCTGTGCAATGTGCGTATTTTCGATACAGGGGTGAAGTGTAGAGATCAAACATCGAAGTTGGACACCATTTTGGAATCCAAAATACCGTCAAATACCCTACAATATGGTTATCTTTGGAACGAAGACGATGTCTAGAGGTCGAAAATCGATGTTGGACGCCATTTTGGAATCCAAGGTGGCGGCCATCAGTTTTAGAAAACTGTCAAATACTTTACAATATGGGTATTTCCGGAACATGAACGACGTATAGTGATCGAAAATCGATGTTGTGGCATCAATCGGTTTTATAAATACTGTAAAATACCCAACAATAGACGAGTGCACGGATGGATTTCACACACCGTGCACTCGTCTATATTAGAGTCGGTGTATAATGAGTCACGCCAAGAGTGAAGCCAAGTCTACCTATTGAACTGTCAAACCGGCTACCTATCGTGCAAAGTAAACAAACATTACGATGCTATGAAAGGTCCACGAAAGGTATTGCAATAAAATATAAAATATAATCGAAAAAATTATCATAAACACGCAGTGATCATTAAATTGTCATGGGATACGTTTGGTAGCGATCATTAATGAGAATTTCTACTATTTTTTGTTGAGATGATTGGACAAAATCACTGATATAATGATTTACAACAGCCGCTATTTTTTTTTGCTCGCTGGAAGTCATTTGAAGTTGATGTAGCAGTCCTCTGTTGCCAAGTGAAAAGAAATGGAATCTTTCGAAAACCGTGATGCGAGTTCAACTGTTTTTCTCTTGGCGTGACTCATTATACACCGACTCTAGTCTATATGAGTGTTTTAAGAACGGGGATGACGTGTAGAGGTCGAAAATCTATGTTGGATGCCATTTCTGAACCCAAGAAGGCGGCCATTGGTTTTAGAAAAAAAAAGAAAAACTGTAAAAAGCCCTACAATATGGGTATGTTCCAAGGGGAGACAACGTATAGAGGTCGAAAAATCGATGCTGGACGCCATCTTAGAATTCGGCCATCGGTTTTAGAAATACACAACAATAAGTACTTTTGGGACGAGGACAACGTGTTGATGTGAAAATTCGATGTCCGCCGCCATTTTGGAATTCAAGATCGTGACCACAGGTTTTAGGAAAAAAAAATGTTCAAATCCTAAAATATGGGTACGTTCGTATCCTCTTTATTCACCGCTAATTTGGAACCCAAGAGGTCGGCCATTGGTTTAAGAAAAAAAAAAACTGTCAAATTCCCCTTACAATATAGGTGTTTCCGCCGTCATTTTGAAATAAAAAAATCTTTACGAAATTATAAAGTCCCCGTTCTGAAAATACTCATATTGCAAGGTATTTGTAAATTTATTTTACACTGATGCCTTACACCTTGGATTCCAAAATGGTGGCAGACATTGATATTCGACTACTACACGTTGTCCCCGTTCGGATAGTACCCATATTGTAGGGTGTTTGCCAGTTTTTTTTTCCAAAATCTTTCCATTTATTAAAAAGCGTGATAAAAGTTCAAGTTTCCATTTAATCGTTTTGGTGTCTTCGGTGCTCTTATTTCTTATCCTACAAGCAATAAGTGCTCCAAAGACACCAAAACGATTCGTACGAAACATGCACTTTTATAGCACTTTTTGCATTGTTTAAAGCAGTCTAGTTTCAGATGCAATCAGCAATATTTTCAACCTCTACTTATGGTGAAAACTTCTGGAAACCTGGTAACTTTTATTTGATATTCTGTTTTGTTTTTCGAATGAGAATAATGGAAAGTATATTTAAAAGCAGTCAATATTATACAATTTTACCGGGCAGATATAAATTCCTTGATACTTATATCTACTCATAAATTTGCAAATTATTGACAGATTGGTTATTATAGGTAGAAATATTTTTTTTTATTTCTAACAACGGTTTGAAAAATGCTGATGCCACATGTCTGAATTTATTTAATTAGAAAAAGGCTAAGGATGGTTAACTACCCCATTTCCGGCCTATTAAGCAAAACCCGCACTTAGTATTTCTTAATCTAGCGCAGTTTATCAACAAACGGAATGTTATTATTACTGATGGCTTCCAAATTAATTTACCTTTCCGTACGTACCATAAGATCATATAAAGAGAAACCAATCGTTGAGATATTTTCAAAAGTCTAACACTGCTTCTTGACGCCAAACTCGGCCTACAGATTCTAAACTCGGCCTAATGCATTGAAACGCCATTGAAACACCAATGAATTCACTTCGGCCTATCGGATGATGATAAAAATTGATTCGGTTGGAGCGCTTCTTTTGTTTTTGGGAATAATGGGTGCAAACCTTCATATCACTCGTTCTCCTTGACTTCATTCCATAGCTTATTAACTAAAGTATCGTACCAAACGCATAATTCACTTGTTAACTCTGAAATTATGGATTTATTTGAAATTTTCTGCTCGATAGGCCCAAAATGGGCGATTAGGCCGAAGTAGTTCTCTGCCCTATAATACATTAATTAATGTAAAAGATTCAAATTAACGTCCAATATTTGCAGCAAGCTGCTAGGCAATTTTAAATCTTTGAGAAATTCTTCCACCGCTCGAAGGTGCTGAATTGATATTTTTGCATACTAGAAAATCACTTTAATCTCGTTTTGCGTAAATATGGAACTCCCAAACACACTAACACAAATACACTTACTCTGTTTACGTGAATATACGGGAGATTTCATCAACATTTTTAGTGGACATGACGTGTAATGCAGGTCAAAGTTATTACCGTCACGTAACATTTGAGATTTTCTAAATACAGATCAATTATGTCATATTTCACGTAAATCGGAAGTGAAGATTTTTTAGAGTGTAGGATTTGATAATATCGGATTCCAAAAAAAGCGGTTCAACCTCTACACGTCATCCCCGTTCCGGAAATACCCTTATTTAATGGTATTTGACAGATTTTTCTAAAACATATACGGCGAACATCTGTTTCCAAAACGGTCTCCAGCATCGATTTTCAGCCTCTACACGTCACCCCTGTTCCGAAAATACTCACATTGCACAGATTCAAGATAAAGTATATTCAGAAAGTTTGAATGCACACTAGCGCCACGTAGTGATAGAGTTCTGAGCTAATACGACCACCATCCGGAAGACCATGGTCATCTGAACAACTTAGCTGAAGACAGCATCCATCTATATGGTCAGGATTTCGAGACATTGTTTATACAGGAAGTTTGCATGCACACTTGAACCGCGTAGTGATCTATTATGAACACCATCCGAAAAGACTTGGTCATCATAGCTGAAGACAGTAACATTTTATGTGGCCGGGATTTTGAGATACTGCTTTTATAGGAAGTTCATAAGCACAGTGTAGTGTGAGAGTTATGAACTAGTATGACCGCTTATCCGAAAGGACCAGGTGATCAGAACAACTTTGCTCAAGACGGCAACTTTCTGTATGGTCATGATCACGAGATATTGTATGTTGGCCCAAATGTCATATTTTATAGCGCCCGTCATAAGTAAAATGAAAGTGTAGCGCCTCTAGCGACGTAGTTCCCAATTAAACCTAATAGCACAAGCTCTAACAAGGTCTAAGCCAGTTCAACAACTTTATCGAAGACAGTACAGTTGTATATTGAAATTAATTAGATAATTAATTAGTGAAAATCCCATAAGCTGTGGGTATTCTTATTTGCGGCTCCTTATTCACGCTCCCTTTTAACCGGGAGTACGGATTCCTGATTGTAATTTCCACATTCTTTTAATGAAAGCAGTTTTGCAAGACTTTCCTGCAAATTAAAAACCAGCATAGATTTCTGATTTCAGTTGAATACATGAGCGCGAAATAAGGTGCACTGTTGAGCGGATCAAAAACATCGCTCGAATCAGTGCGCGGAATGATATGCACCGTCTCAACATTTTGTTAGGCAATTTTTTTTTTAAATTTTGCTATTGATTTTTACAAATCTTATATTTTTTATTAAAATACGGTAAACCATCTATCAAATGATACATATGACGGTAACGTTTCTCTTCTTAACTCTCGCGTTAAAAATGTGGAATAAGCTACCTCCACGGTAATTGCACAATAATTCAGAAGGTCGTATTGATATCTTGCGTAAAATAATTAATGAAAAATTGTCGTTTTAAGCTTTCTTAACCACTATACCATTTTTTTATTGTTTCATTGTATATACTATATGCATACTTAGATGCATATTGAAAGATACCATTAATCAATGTGTTTGGCATAATAAAATGCAAAACAGCTAGGTACATTTTCTCACTGCACACTGAATAACGTCAAAACTATCACTACACGTTCAAAGTAAAACAGCCAATTTTGCTAAGCCTTTTTTGATTAAATTTCAATCGCTTAAACTTTCTTGACAAAATGGACACACTATGAAATAAATTTCGTGTAGGCTATCCTCCCAGATAATTATCAAAATGGCTTTAGATCACTAAAATTCCATACACACCGATTTTTTTAATTCCACTCTAAGTTGCTTGAATTTGTTGAGCAATCGTGTAATAAATAATTCGTGACAAACTTGAAAACAAATCTTAACGAAAACTGCCCTGTATGAGCTGGATTGATGCTAATAAATTTTAAATTTAAAGTAAGAACTAACATAGATCAAGTCATGTTGAAAAGTATGGTGATACTACAATTAAAACTTCATTTTCATCATTTGATCGTCTGATCCTGTAGATCCACGTTCAGCGATACGAAAATTTCCTGAACGTCGTTGAGCTAATTTTCGTAATAACAATACATCATGATTACACATGTCGAACTAGGATGCTCGATATTTATGCTAATGATAACGCGATCAAGGGTCATTTACTTACAATCACTTCCTGTTGCCAGCTCAACCCGGAATGGGGAAGCCTTTGGTCCCACCGTGTTGCGTGTTCCGTTCCCCGCTGTGTGTATGTCCGAAGTGAATCGTTTCCTGGATGCGTACAAATGAATGTAAATTTATCCCGCACTAATCACATGGTATTTATCAATCTTCCTGTCACAAGCACAGGTTTCGCACGGCAGTAGCAGTTAGCCGATCAGAAAAGAAGGAAGTACCAGTACGCTCTGGTGGGCAAATTTTTATTTCTTCTTGCCACAATAATTGAATGCCTTCACATGGATTGCTTAACGATCTTGTCACTTTTCTTCGTGTCGCAATTTTCGCGCGTTTCTCTTTCGCAACCTCTCACTCTGTTGGGTGTCTTTTCTTAGCTTCCCTTTTCCTTACTGGACTTGCCCTTTCTTCCCTCTTCAACAGTGCTGTATCCTATTCCGTACAGACACTGTCAGGTCACGAGATATCATTTTCAAGGTTAGACACTTTTGCTTTCTTTCACTGTGGCTTCACTCATTAAATTGATTTCACTCTCTCTTTCACTTTGGATAACTCTTCTGGCAGGTTTGACACATGAAAACACACCGCCACAAGTCCCACGATCAATTTCTTTCTCTTTCACTGTCACGATCTGGGAGGTAACCTTTCGTCAACGAATGAAATTGAAAGTGACCAGCACAATGTAATCTCTCAAGCGTGATCCGCCAAAGATTTCTGGGCGATATCCGGAGTTGCCCTTTAGGTGTTGCACTCCTTCTTTCTGCGGATTTTGGCACGTGTATGAACCGGATGACTTGCGTAGAACCGCGTGCGTGTCGAGCAACTTCGATCCGATCTACAGAACCGTTGGTGCACAACTGCACGGCAGATAGCCCCTAGAAGATGACTTAAGGATGATATAGCAGTTCTCGACCCGTAGAAGGTGGGGTACACGGCACTTCCTGGAAATAAGATAGGCACGGTAGAGAGAAAGAGAAAACAAAGCCGGTCGTTCCTATAAAGATGTCTTAAACCAGTGCATATAAAAATCAATCGTAGAACGCACAACAACGCGCATCCGAAGCGACAGCAGAACAGTTATGCGATTATAGGGGAATAAATCATGCGCGTGTGCAGATGAGAGAGGCGGCCGCATCGGTGCTGTGGCAGTGTTGCTAGGCCTGAGGTGCCGGCCGCTGATGCAGCGTGAGATCAATGTTTTTCATTGTAATCAATTGTGTATATGTGAACTTTTGAATCACCATAATATGGTATTACAATTCTGGCTTAGCATGAACAGGGGGTTGTTTAGAAGGTACGAAACAAAGTAGATCGTTCGATCAGAATATCGATGGCGCATACGATTCAAAGTTAAAGGGAGGTTTAAGGGGACGTTTAGCAACCCCAAAATATTTTTTTCGGCACGTTTTTATTTTTCTAAAAATATTGGGAATAAAATCAATGTGCAGACTTCTTCAGTGTCTTGTACTAATACTCAAGTCAAGTATTAGTACAAGACACTGAAGAAGTCTGCACATTGTAGACGAAATACGCGTATCTGTCAAGGATAAGCAAATAAGGTAGTGGAATTAAATGGAAATTACTAATCCTTCTCTCTCTAATTATACAGGTATTCCACTAAGACGCCGACATTCATCAGGATGTATATTTTTTTTTATCTCGTCGTGAAAAAAAAATTGGATTTCAGCAAAACAGAAAGGTCATTGTTTTGTGTTTTTTGAGTCCAACCTTGTGCCATGATGACTTACAAAAAATGTTTTTGCAAAATTAGAGAAAAACTTTAATTTTGTTTTTTTTTCAAGATTTTTGAACTGATTGGTTTATCGCTTAAATTATGGATAAACCTATTGATTCCAACTACATCATCTATAGATACCCCTTGATCGGTAATAAGATATGTCATTATGGCTTTTACATCTATTAGCTCGATTGCGATTTTTTCGAGTGAGATACGATAGGTTTTGTCATTCAGAACTGAGGACAGCAAAATTCTATCTAGTCGTACTGTCAAGTTAAAGCATGCAATAAGATGTCAAATTGCACACTAGCGTGGTGAGTGAATTCTGAACTGAGCTGTCCATCATCCAATGGGTCTTATTCATCAGATAAAGAAGGCTACCTCTTACCTAGTAGAAGTCGTTAGTTAAATCAATAAGAAGTGAAATGATATACTAGCAATAGGAAGCTAAAAAGTATACTGGTGCACGCTATGTCTGAAGGCACTTTTTTTTTGCAACATTCATGTACCTCAGTTTTTTCTTCACAGGATGTTAGTATTGATTCTAACTATCAACTCTGTGATGGTTTGAAAATATTTCTTCTTGGATTTTTTGAGAAAAGGTGTTTTGAAGTTTACAACGCCGATAACGAAGGCGTATATTGGACTTTTGACGATACAAAACTATTGCGAATTGAACAAATGCAGTTAAATCAGGTTCAAAAGTTGATTGAATTAATCCAAATGGCATTAACAAGTTCTCTTTGACTCTCAAGCAAGATGCGTATTGATTACGTCGACTTTGCGCAAAATCAATTAATATTTGTTGCTAGAACAACTTATTCTTTAATTTCTCTTCCCTCATAAGAGTAAAAGAGAAATAAATGAGCAGGACAATGCAAGACAGCCACGTAATCATAGTGAGCATTGATTTTCTGCCTGTTTAGAGTGTTTTTGAATCTCTCGAAGAAAATAGAGAGTTCGATTGTTGTGCTTAGAAAAAAACGATTCTGTAAAAAAGAAAATCACGCCACTTAAGTAGCAACGTTTGTTGAAAGATTTTTATCAGAGTTCAATAAAGGAATTATTAGGTATCTGAAATGTTTGTTTCCCGTACTCAGCTGGTGACGAAGGTGGAATTTACAACCCTGAGGGATAGAAAATTAGTTTGGATTTTTGGAACCCATGACGAAGTTGTTTGAAAATCGGTTAACATATAATGTCGATAATACAGAAATGAAACTCACATGATGTTAGCTGCTCTTGCTCAGTGAGTTTAGGTAGCTTTTATCTTTAATAACTACAGAATTGCTAGAGCTTCATTGCAGTTCCCATTTTTTGTCTCAGGAAACTTTCAGGAAGCGACTTTCTAGGAAATTCTGCGAACTGTAGGGAACTGTAGTGAATTTTAGGAAAGTTAAAGGCGTTCCTCGAAAGAATCAGATAAGTTTAGCAACATTCAGAGAAGTTCATTGATCTCAGTTCAGGAAAATTCTTCAAACTTTAAATATGTGCTTCGATCTTCAGAGAAGCTCTATAAACATCAGGAAAATTCTGCCAACTTCAGGCACGTTTTGTGAGCTTCAGCGGAGTTCAATGTCCTTCTGATAAGTTCTACGACTCACGAGACTCAGAGACGTTCTGAGAACTTAAAAAAAATCTAAGAACATCAGAAAAAAAGAAGAATTTCATCGAAGTTCAACGAAATCAAGGAAAAACCAAATGAATTTGAATGTATTTAACTTCTATAAGCTGTCTCATCGGGTTGTTGGTGGAACAACTCCCACTCCATGTCTTAGAAAACAGGTATGATAGAGAGAATTTGTTGCGATATCTCTTTATCTTTTACACTTCCTTTATGAAATGTGATCAACGGCATGAGCAGTCCATCAAAGAGATGTAAATATGTAAGGCTCAGTGAATTTGTTATCTCTTTCGTTCTCCCGCTGTTTAAACGGTTGTGACGTCAAACTAACTTCATCCATCTAATCAGCCGGAGAACGACAGAGACGAAAAATTTACTGGGCCTCACCTGTTTACGCTCCTTGATTTGCCATATGGGAATTTGGTTCCAAACATCAACAAACCATCGTTCAGTTATGCGAGGTAGGCGATGATTGTTCGTATTTGACAGGGTGGAAGGGCGTAAAAATGAGAGTTCACCACCTACGAAATATCCTGAGTACGGCTCACGTATGTTACATTGCCGTTTAATAGTTTAAACAAATTGATCAGTTTATGAAAATTGAGCTTCACAAATATCCAGAAAAAGATGTTAACAAGACGTTCAAACCATGTTGACTGTCGAATTGTGCGAGTGTGTAGATATTTATAAGAAAAAAGAACCACATAAAAAAAAACAAATTCATAAAAATGTGTAAATCATGCTTGAAATCATTTCTGACGCAGAAGAACCTGGGGAACGTCAGGTGTGTAGTGAAAACCGGAAACTTCAGAATCGCTTCGAGTTGGCAGATGAAAGTAAGGATCACTTTGTTGCCAAAAGCATTAGAGAGTTAGCAAGCAAAAAACTAGCCGTGCACACTTAATCTAGCTCGGTAAAATCTCCAACAGCCGATTACCTCGGCATTTGCTTTTGCTGATGTATCTGCAAAATATCTGTTTGTTAGCTGATATCTCAGCAAAATGATATTTGTTAGCTGAGTCTCGGCAATTGTTTTACTGAATCTCAGCAAAATAAATTGCAGAACTACTCGGCTGTTGGAATCTCGGCGAAATTTTTTAAGTGTTTGGTTAGTTTTTCAAACGTCGCTGGAAGACCAGAAGACGGCAATAAGTTTCTTTCACGTGAAAAACTTTTCCAAAGACAGCAACCTTCAAGATGCTAAGTTAAACAAATAAGTGTGCCACCTGGAAGACGAATTCTAAACTCAACTGCTCACTTTCCAATAGGCCTTATGCATCTGAACAGCTTTGATGAAGACCACAACCCAGTGATGTCATGGTAAATTTGGAAGTGGTTACTCATTTAGAACTACCTTTTGCGCCCTTGTAGGAAATAAAGTTAATTTCTTTTTCACCCCGGAGGGTCACCAGTTCTAACCACCAACCATCACTGAACATTTCACTTAAAATCGTGAAGGTAAGGTTACTCACTGAGTGAGTGAGATTTTCCTCAAAAACATGCTCGAATATGACGTAAATCGAGGAAAAAAAATCTCAGTCGATAAAAGTAACTCAATAACTGAGTCGAATTCAATTCACAATTGCATTACATTCCATAGTGCCACTAGGCACTGTATGGATACCTGTTTAACAAATTCAAAGTGAGCGCCGTTTAAACACAATTTTAGCTATTCAACGGGGTTCTACAGTATTCAATGGAGAAAAAAACTACTCGTTTACTAAGTAACTCCTTTTTGTGTGCAAATTTTGAGTCAAATTCGACTCAATTTTGAGTCAATCTTATTGGAAATGTACTAGATTACTCATAGACTGAAAATAAGTACATTTTACTTTTTTTCAAACAAATTTTTGAGGAAAATTTTAATCACTTTTCACTTTTTGGACAGAAATCCTACTCAATTTTGAGTTAGTCTCATCGGCCGCGTACGGCGCTAACGATGTGACAACCATCACATCCGCAAACGATCTGAAGTAAAACGTACGCTCTTTTATAACCTCGCTACCGGTCGTATCTCTCTGTTCACTCGATTGTCATAGCAAGCGAACGCATGATGGTTTGATTGCAGCCTGAAAGTTTGATCATCTTTCAATAGCTTACTAATGATAAATAACTTTATATTTTAAACAAAATTAATCTTATATTAATTTTGAGTCAAACGGTGTGAAAGAAAATTTAGATCCATCAACAAATTGCCAAGTTATAAGCGTTTAAAACCTAACACTATTTCGTTAAATAATTTTTTGAATTGCTCCCCAGTATAGTCCACAAACACATAGTCCTACCACCGACAAACTGACATGACGCTTAATTCTGACTTATGCCCCAAAATCGTAAACGGCCGATTTAAATGTGCAGTGATCCGAACTGTTACAGGATTTATTTATCAAGATAAAAATAATTTGTCCAGAATAGATCAGTCACGAACCAATTCATAGCTTTTGCATGTGGGTTAACGGCTTAACTAAATATTTCCCGCGAACACGGAGCGAGATGCCAGTAGTGTACTTTGGTCAGAATTTTTATTGTTTTTGCATGTCGATTTGTCGGTGGTCCTACGTCAAAAAACTTTAATCTTC